CACCACTAACTACAAAGACAAGCCATATCCGGTCATACTGGATATCTCTTAATGAAACTTCTGTTTCAGACTCATCCGGTTATTCATCACTTGGGTACGAAATTTTCCTTTATAACCGTTTAATCTCGGTTCCTATTAAGGGAGTCAATTTGAGAGCTATCCCAGTGCACTTCGGGATCCCTCAAAGACCAGTGTTATCTCCCACCCTATCCATCGACGGCTTTCCCTCCCCAACTCTGACTCCTACCGATGCTTTTGCCAACGATGCCTCCCTGAATTGGCAACAGATCTCGTGCCTCATCTATCACTATGGATTTTCTGTTTGGGCTTTATGCAGTTAAGATCTGGAAGGCATCCCTAATTAGGCATATAAAAATTCAGTGCCTCCAATGTCACTAAAACCACTAAAATTCCAATCTAAACTTTGACGTTTCATCTGTTGGCACTCATTTACTATTCTACTTGACTTTCAGTGTCNATCTTTTCCCGACATCGCATCCTTTGCAGGACTCAAACGGGTCCCACCATATATGGAAGCTATATTTCGGGCGAGGCCTCCTGTGGGGCACGAGTCCAGCACAAAACCGGTCGCCTTGTAGCTGATCCGTTCATATCTATCAGTATGCTGATCCACGCCCAATCGCTTCGTTGTCTCTCTTATACCACCAGGAACATGGGTTTGGCTTCTCAGAGATTACCGATTCGTCACTCTTCCACTTACATTCCCCCGCGAGATCCGATCACAAAGATTATGCCACTTTAAACAAGTGACTATGCCATTTCAGGTTGGATTTGGTAACGAAACGCTGTGGTTGGGTCCACCTCCGCTCAGCACACTTTCTTGTTCAATTGATCACACATTTTTCTTCCTCTTGAGTGACCAACTTTCTACCCACGTTCTTTCTGTGTTGAGATGAAGCGGACCCCAATCGTGAATCTTTTCGGTGAAGTTGTGTGATTTGCGCGAAACAGCTAAGATGATCCTCAATCACAAAAGGTCCTGTGCGCCGAGGCTAAACTGGTCATTGTTGCTCGGACGTTGACCATAGGATCATCACCAAAGTTTGCCACAGTAACTAAGACCAGTGAAGGGTCCAGTCCCTAAGTTGTACTCCGAATAATGCACTTTTCATTACGTGGATCATGGGCTTATTCGAATAGTACGAACTATTGAGATGCTTCGGCCGGAGTAACTGAGGTGAACTTTGGAGATTGGACTGTTGTTCACCAAAGGCCTAGTTGTCACCAGAGGAATTACTACTGCATAGAGAACACTGGGATGTAATAAATCCCACAAAGTATTTCAGTCCCCCTCCCCCGCCTCCTGGATTTCTGGATTATCTTTGCTACCACATGCATAGTTTTTGAGAATCCTTACCTTTCGCAATTTAGGTTGTCCAAATATCATTTCAAGATTCGGGGAATAATTTCAAACTATCTTCGCATTATTTCAAGCTGTCTAGTTGGCCTCATCGGTGCCGACAAGCTTCCCAAGCGATGTCTGGATGACCACCATGCAGCACAGATTTCTCTACCTCCCGTTGAAGCGCGGGGGAACGATTGTGAGACATGCCTCGGTCATACGCCTCAATTCCGATGACATACATATTAGTTGTTCATCTTGTAAGTATGCGTACGCGTCTGTGTGTTTGTCACCCACCACGGATACCAGTGAATCATGTGCGATCAACGCTTGGGCCATTGCTTACATCCATCGCATGATGCTGCAATAGAATTCATAAGCTACACCTCAAGCGGCTACATTGGGACACTAATCGATCAATATGCGCAGCAGTGTTGTGACCAGATTCATAACCAGTTTGTTCGACACTTCTAGATTATATTCCATCTATGAACACCACCACCGAAGCACCTTCAAGTATTAAACAATCCAAATGACCATTTTGACCATATTTTTGGAACGGAATGAGATATTCCTATCAAACAAGCTACAATGGAAATAAAGTCACAAGGGCTGTGGAAATATGCCATAAATTTAATAATGGTTACGGAATTTTACAAAAAAATATAAGTTCAAAAATTGAAATGTTTCTAAAATTCACCTTTCTGAGTATGGGCTCTGAATTGGATAATCTTTATCGCTGAAATTATACAGTCTTCCTTCAACACTTCCACCACACAAAATAAACCGGGTGAATTACGGTTAACGTATTACCTTCACAAGCAGTAAATGCAAACTGGCTTCGAACAATCCTATTTCTCGACTCAGTTTCACGATGGGAACACCACCGTGGCCGTTCTTAAAATAGTGATTCCGGAAGCCACCAACAATCAGAAATTGTGGAAATGTTCGGTATCTCGGTAAGTATTAGGAGATCAGAACACCTTAACTATAAAATGTAAATCAGCGTTAGACAAACCGCAATTTTCAAAACATAACCCCAGCTGTAAAACCCACGTTGAATATCCTAGCTATGCTTTTTCATGAGGACGTAGATATTCAAGTTTGGGTGGTTAAGTGTGGCAGGACGGGATAACATATGAATGAGGATAACGGACAAACGGAGGTATAGTGTGGTATTGAATGGTAGACAAAAAGCAGATAGAGCATGAGGATCAGGAGGGACAGTCACCGTGGCAATTGCACCTTCCAACGAGATCTTATGAACTCTTTCATGATTATGTTTAACCCGAGCCTTTTGAGCTCAAAATAGAGCACAAAAGGAGATCATTCTGGTTGGTTTAAACAACGAAGTGGGTTTTGATTCTGGATTCACTATAGGGGTACGGTTGACAGAAGTCTTTGCACACCAGGAAGAAAATGCAGTCTCTAGTAGTACACACGACCTAGAAATCCATAAATCATTGTTTGGCAGATTTGAAGTTTGTATGACGATTGTGAAAAGTTCAATAGCCTCGGTGGGATTCGAACCCACCCATGGACGACGCATCCGCTTTGTACGCGCACGCTCTACCAGCTGAGCTACGAGGCCGCGCCGACAGTACTGATCTTTTCACATTCTGATGACATCATTGGAGTTTTAACTCAAAGCTGTTTTGTCTCTCATCAGGCATAGGGAGAGAGGGTTAGCTGAACATAATATCCAAAAGAAAATAGAACGAACGCCCTGAAGAACCCATGTACTGTTTCTTGTTTCACGCGGCCAAAGGCTACCACACTCCTCACAGACCCGTACTGCCACTTTTGTTGACCCGCAAATCTTTGGAAGACGTAGGTCATGAGTTGAATATTTGCTCAAGAGTGATGGTTCTCAGTCTTGAGGTAATATCTGATAGCTGGATTCTGTGAACCATTCATCATTACCGAGCACTTCTAGCTACTTACCGGCAGTAGCCATAAGTTAGAGCATGTTTAATCTTTTCTCTGGCGGTCTATGCTTATCTAAGACATCGACGTAGGTTCGTAAACCTCTCCTTTGCGCTCCAAGTTAATGACTTNTGAACAAGCCACTTTTTCGCAGATGAAAAACAGATCAGCTACTCCATCCTCGCCTCCTTGTAATATTATTGCTCATTGTTTTCCCTGATGTGCAAACTTCCATACTTTGATCTACCATTGATTGTCGAAGATTCCATTAATCAGTCCTAATGGCATTAAACCACTGGGTTCCAAACGACAGGGTAAATCGACTGTCCTTGAATGAGGTGCGGTTAGACGGCCCTTCCGGTTTAGATTCCTGTTCTTCACAAAACTAGTAACGGTTATCGGCTATATATTCTGACCATCATGTGCAAATTACCGATATGAACATCAAACGATAATTGTTACGAAGCCAACTAACGGCCACGTGGTTCACAAATTTGGGGGTTATGTCGAGTATTGGCGATCGTGTCGGAGCACTGCACTGCACTGCTTTATTGGGCATCACGACGGTTAAACTGCAATAAGCTGTTCCAATGAGCCAACCAAACTACCTTCTGAGACAATAGCTGAAAAACTGCAACCCACCTCATAAAAACAGTCAACATTAATCGCTTATCCAGAATGCTCTGTATTCTGCGGATTCAGTGAGTTTAGCTGTAAAATGAAACAGCGGAATACGGGAATTAAATCAAGTCTGATTTGAAGACCCTGACTAACGTTTCTGTGAGAGTGGAAGTGACTGCATGACATAAGCTGTCTATTGTATTCATCGAACAGGAACGAAGTTCATGTGTTTTATACTGGTCTAATGGTTCTGAATAAATACCGCACGAGGTGAACGAAAAACGTTTGTATGTCATTTGCGTGGTCTCGGGCGAACAAATTACACTAACCGATGAGAAACAGCTCAGATTCAGTTGAGTCTACATGCTACAGGATTGTGTGCAGCGTGAGGATACACAAGTAAACAAGCAAGAAATGAAGACCAATGAAAAACGATTAGGCGTGAGTAGCTGGTGAGAACATTTTTGTCCATCTAGAGTTTATGACCGTGTTCGTAACGCAGTGCTACCTTCCCACCCCAAGCCTTAGGGTGAACATCGTCCGGACGAACCAAACTTGATCGTTTTTTGGAGTTTCACTGGTATTAGTCGGGATCAAGGACATTGCGTTCGCACGGAGGGACTGGAGGAGACCGCTCTAGAGAAGTACTGCATTAGCTCCAATCGTCAAGTTATTGTAAATAAGCGATATGCCAAAACTGAACACCGAAAAGATAAGTTTGAAAGCGCTGAACCGAAAAGGTACTTTATAGTGTGAAACGGAGCGAATGAAACGATATAATCCGTGCATGTGCGAGTGTTTGACTGTTTGTGTCACTGTAGGAACGCTGTCGGGGTGGGGGAATTGGAACAAACATTCGGAAACAAATGAGTGCACAGCATCTGGAGCAATATTGTAGCAGATATAGAGCAAGGAGTGGAATTTGGTCAGAATGCCACCCGTGAGCGTAGCAAACTATGAATTAATCCGTTTCCATTGCTGTCCCAGCACCGTCCTTTTTGTCCGGCGAGGAATCATCATTGGGTTTTTTGCTTTTGTTCTCATCCTTCTTGGTCGCGACATCTGATTTTGAGGAACTGGATCCCGCATTCGCTTGCAAGGCGTGAGAGAACGCGACTAAATCTGTCGGCATCAGGTCAAAAAGCGATGAGAAGCAAGTTAAACTAAATGGTATATTACCACAGTAAAAGAGGAACATGTGGTGCGGGATAACTCCTAAACAAACCAAGCCTATCAAATCCTCACATATAAACGGTATGTATGTATAGACCACCTCCTGGATGGCAATGGGTGTCTACAGAGAAGCTTAGTGAAATCCAGGATATCCGACAAAACTGACGGATGCAATATTACCATAAAGCAAGCAGCACAGAGACAGTTCTAACATCCCGAATAGGGAACGGGTCGTTCTAATGTCGTATTTTTATCTCCTTTCACTGAATAAAGAATTGTACCAACAATTCTCAAGAAAGTGAAAACGGTTTCCGTGTGACGTGGAAAGTAAGGCGACGGTAATGGAATTCAACCACACGACCCCGTAAGTAATATGATGATGATCAACACCGCGTGACCACCGTACCCGTTTTGGCATGACAAATACATCTTAAGCGAACACATAACAGGCGAAGAAATCATATACTCAATGTCAACCGCAATGAGTTAGGTGCATTGAGAAGAGTTCATTTTGCTTCTACTGCAGACAAAATTATGACATAAGGAACTCGACTACTCATTACAAAACTTTGCATTGCGCAACAGAGACCATATGAAACTAAAATGAGAGCAAATTTATCGGGTTATTCGTATTACATCTTTGACCGGAACGGTAGCCTCGTAAGGGGAAATGGAATATGACGTATAAAGAGTCAATTTGCAAACTCACCTCCATGACGAGCGGCTTCATCTGCTTTGGCACCCAGCTTGAACTGAGCCAAAACAGGAGCAAGGTCACCCGATTGGAATGCGGCAGAGAAGGACTGAAAGATCATGGAAGAGTGTAGCGTAGTTATCAAGGGGATTCACGTACGATGCACGATGTATGGGCGGCAGAACCCCTCAAACATTTGAGATGGGGTAAAACGATAAAACAGTTAACCAGAATGTTGATCCCCTTTAGTTACCAAGCGATAATTTTTGCCTACTTTCTTCCAATTATTGATGGTTGCGTTCTTACTGAGTGTCAGTTGCTACCTCTTGGTTGTCACTATTTTCACTTGCTGATTGATCAACGTATTAGTCCTTTACCGAGTATTGACAGAAAACTGGTCCAAAGCCATTTACTTTTGTAAGCCTTTTTATTCTTCTCTTTTCTGACTATTTCTGTGTCACTTATTTTCGTTGACACGACGTTGACACACATTGAAATGGTGTGATGGCTTGTGCACCTCTCTGACCCAACGAGCTACACAGGATGGCTTTATCAAG